CTCCGACATTTTCCAAAACAGATTTAGGGGTAGTTGTTGCAAAATCGGCTTCAGGAGCCGTAGTTTTTCGAATTGCCTGGAAAGAAGTACTTAGCTCATGACCTTAGCGGGAGATCATTAGACTATTATGAGCGTACGCCGACATTCTCCACGACGGATCCAGGGGTGGTTGTAGCAACCCTGGATTCCGGAACTGCAGTCCTGCGAATTGCCTGGAAATGGCGAAAACACTGAGGGCATTCAACTTTCCTTTGAATAGCAATGAGATGTTTATTTTAAGAGATAAGCCTACTCCAACATTTTCCAAGGCAGATTTTGGAGTGGTTGTTGCAAAATCGGCTTCGGGGACGGAAGTTTTTCGAATTGTCTGGAAGCGGGGTTAGACGCACAGCTTAGACGTTTAGCGCCATTATATATGAGATAACATCGTCCAAAAACACTTCAATTTTATTACTTGCTCAATTTAGCTGGGTCTTATATATTTGCAAATTATTGTGAGACTGTTTCTTTCACAAAATTCCTCAATCTTAAAATTTTCTTAGAAGCTCGTTATCTTAATAGAGGAATGTGAGATTCATGAGAGATCCAATTGAAGCCAGCGATAATCGCCGCCTTAGTTTATCCTAAAATTTGCTAACAACAAAATGGCCATCTCATATATAACATTCTTGTCACTACTAATGCAAGTATGTTAATATTTAAGCCTACTCCGATGTTTTCCACCACAGATTTGGTAGTGGTTGCGCGATCGATCTCAGGAGCTGGAGTGCTACGGATAGCCTAAACAAGAAAGTCCGCAAATCTATCGGCTAAGCGACATGAGGAAGAATCAGCCTACTCCAACATTCTCCAAAACGGATCCGGGGGTAGTTGTAGCAAAATCTGTTTCGGGAGCGGGAGTACTACGGATTGCCTAAACTGGCAAAATACGGTTTCCGTTCACTTAGTGCAGGAAGAAGAGAAGCAATGGAAGAAAGGAAGAGTTATCCTACTCCAACAACTTCCACTGCAGAGCCTGGGGTGGTTGTGGCAAAGGCAGTTTCGGGAGCTGGGGTACTACGAATTGCCTAGAATGGACAAAGTAGGGTTTTACCAAGTTGATTTCTGTTATACTAACATAGAGAGAAGGATTTTGCATT